AGACGGATAAATAGATAGATAGTAACAGAAAGAGATATATATACTTACATACATGCATATATATATATATATATGTGTGTGTGTGTGTGTGTGTGTGTGTGCGTAGATATAATAATAATAATAATAATCGACTCTCCCGTCGAGATTCGACGTATGAGGGTCAAGCAGATCAGTTTCCAGGAAACCGACAGCCCGACACTGACATATATATCTAGATACATACACATACACACACACACACACACACACACACACACACACACACATATATATATATATATATATATATATATATATATATATATATGTATATATATATATATATAGAGAGAGAGAGAGAGAGAGAGAAGAGACAGGGGTGACAGAGAGAGAAATGATGGTAATAAAACCAGATAAATAGATAATTTTTCAATCAATCTCTTTGAATTTGACTTCAAACTTTATATACACCCTGTCATGAAGATGAAAAAAAAAGATATTTGTTTGATTTTTGAATGTCGTCTTAAACATTAAAACTGTCGAGGAAATGTCAATGAACTTTTGGAAACACGAGTCGGACAAAACACACATGAAAGTGTCAGAGCAATGTATCAGATCAAGTGGGATCAACATCGGATCACCTCATCGAAGTTGACAAAGTGATGAAAATCGATCAATGTGTTCCACATGAACTCATGAAAGTTTGACATTTTGAAGTGTGTTCGACGCTTCACCTGCGAAATTGGAATAATCCATTTTCCGATTGAATAGTGACATGTGAAGAGAAATGGATCCTTTATCACTGTCGTAAGCAATCGGCTCAATGGCTCGATCATGACAAATGTCCCAAGCGCCAATAAAAGATTATGGTGACTGTCTGGTGGCCCAACATCTGCGTTATCAATGACAGCTTTCTGGAATCTAACCAGATTATCACTTCCGAAGTTTACTGCCAGCAAATGGATAAAATGCACATTTAGTTAAGCAAAAAATCGATGAGGTCTAATTCTGCCCAGGACAACATGGAACTACAGAAGCTCATTTGACTTGGGGTACGAGATTTTGCCACACCCATCATATTCAACTCTTCGCTTACCCACTGACTCAGTTTTACAAGCATCTTGACATTTTTAAGCCAAAAGACATTCCGTTGCAAGGAAAGGCAGAAAATGCATTCAAAGTGTTTTTGGTCTCCAAACTTTCACAGTTTTTTCCTAAATATATAAATAAAATTGTAACTCAATGGAAGCAATGTATAAATATTCAGGTTTTCAATTCTGACTGATTTAAATATCGTTTATATACATTAATTCAGCAATAAATGCTGATTCTAAAATCGCATATTATTTCCCTAACAACCTGATAGATAGATACATACATAGATAGTTAATAAGCAGATTAATATAGCTAGATATATAGATATTGAATGGACAAAGATAGATAGATAGTTAATAAGCAGATTAATATCGATAGATATATAGATATTGAATGGACAAAGATAAATAGATAGATAGATAATAAGCAGGGTAATATAGCTAGATAGTGAATGGACATAGATAGATAGATAGATAGATAGATAGATAGATAGATAGATAATTTCCCGTATAACAATTTATTTAGTAAGGGATATTTAAATTAATCGCTCTTCAAATAAATTGAAGATTATTTTAATGAAGGCTGACTACAATGCAAATCTTGATTCTGCCTTCAACTGCAAAAAGCTAATATCAAAAAATAAAAATAAAAACCCCACGAGCCTACTGAAAAGACAGATGGACAAATTTATCACACATAATATGGACGTGTAACAGATAGTTACGAGTTCTTTCTTTTCTGGAGCTTTTAAGGGTGAGCAGGTGTCGTTTGATAACGAGCAAAAATTACACGTGTTGCTTTTATTGAAGGAAACAAATACAGAAAAGAATAAACCAAATGAGATAGAACTGTCGGGAAAATTTACTATCTGTAAATTTAAAGGATGTTCTTTAGTCACTTGCTTACAGACGCGAAGTGGTGTAACTCTGTCCTTACTAAAAATATTTTCATGGCAACTGCTCTGATGAGCCTTTTTCTCTGGTCCCCCGACTACAAGAATTTAAGCGTGCTACTAGATTGGCATCTAGGTCCCACCTGTTTACTGTTGAAATAGTTAAGCATAACCGCCAATTTTAATCTAACATTTTCTTTCGTCGCAATTACCGACAATAGAACTCCTTTCTGTTCATTACTTCCCTGATAACTACAATCTTCCAAAATTTAAATGTAATATCAATCGCCATCTTCCGTTTACTTGAATCCTGTCCTTGTTCTGTCTTTCTTTTAATCCTCCCTATACTCAGTCTTTTCTCTCACTTTCTCTCTCGGTAACTTCCTGTGTACTGGTGGCATTTCCGCCTTGCTTGGGATGAAATGATTATAAAAAATCAATGTAATAGATGTAAACATTATTCTTAAACTTATTATGTGAAGGAGTGACTGCTCGAGGGTTGTGTGTAGTTTCCACCGCTGTCCTGTGATATAAGGGCGTGGAGATCTGGCTTCTCCCATTCTTGCGGAGTAACATGAAAAAGTACAAGGCTATTGAAAATTTTCTGCATACTCCTATGTCGGAAGTTATATAGACCCGCAAACAGATAATAAATGATGGAAGACAACAAGAAACAAAACGAAGACTCGAATCAAAAACATACTGACAAGTTTATTTTCGTTAAAAAAAGCATCAACAAAAATAAGGTTTCAGTGCATGAGGAGGATTAGAAAAGAGATATCCTAAAAAGGACAGTTTTGTAGTCACAAAAGAGGGTTGTCCTGAAAAGGACAGTTTTGTAGTCGCTGAAGAGGGTTCTCTTGAAAATGACATTTTTGTAGTCGCTGAAGAAGGTTTTCCTGATAATAACATTTTTGTAATCGCTGAAGGAAGTTGTGCTTAAAAGGAGAGTTTTGTAATCTCTGAAGTGGCTTATCTTGAAAATGAGAGATTAATAGTCGTTGCAGAGGTTTCCCTAAAAATTAAATTTTTGTTTTCGCTGAAGATGTTTTACCTGAAAAGACAGATTTGTAGTCGTTGAATAGGGTTGTCCTGAAAAGGACAGTTTTGTAGTCTCTGAAGAGGTTTGTCCTGAAAGAACAGTTTTCTCATTGCTGAAGATGATTGTCCTTAATAGGACAGTTTGTTAGTCGCTGAAGAGGTTTGTCCTGAAAATGTCATTTTTGTAGTCGCTGAAGAGGGACAGTTTTGTAGTCGCCGAAGAAAGTTGGTCTAAAAATTATATATTTGTAGTCGCTGTATTTGGTTGACCTGAAAAGGTCAAATTTGTAATCGCTGAGTTGACCATAAAATATCAGTATGGTTGTCGCTGAAGTTAGTTGACCTAGAAATGTGAGATTTGTAAACGCTGAAGAAGTTTGCTAAAAATTGCTGTTTTGTTGTCGCTTAAGATGATTTACCTGAAAAGAGTTTTGTAGTCGCTAAATAGGGATGTCAGTTTTGCATTCGTTGAAGACGGTTGTACTGAAAAGGATAGATTATTAGTCGCTGAAGAGCGTCGTCCTGAAAAGGACAGTTTGTCGTCGAATAATATGGATGTCATAAGAAGGACACTAAAGTAGTTACTGAAGAGTTTTTCCTAAAAAGGAGTGTTTTGTTCTCGTCGCCGTAGAGAGTTGTTCTGAAACGGACAGTTTTGTCGACGCCGAAGCGCTTTGTCTTGAAAATGAAAGTTTTGTAATCGCTGAAGAGGGTTGTCCTGAAAAGGACAGTTTTGTTGGCTCTGTAGAGGGTCGTCCTGAAAAGGACAGTTTTGTTGGCTCTGTAGAGGGTCGTCCTGAAATGGACACTTTTGTATTTGCTGCAGAAGTTATCCCGAAAAGAACAGGTTTGTAGACCCTGCAAAGGTTTGTCTTGTAAAAGACAAATTTTTAGTCGCTGAAGAGAGCTGTTCTCAAAAGAACAGTTTTGTAGTTGCTGAAGAGGGTTGTGCTAAGGACAGTTTTGGCGTACCTGAAGAATGTTGTCCTGAAGAGGACAGTTTTGCCGTCGTTGAAGAGGTTTGACATGAACATATTTGTTTCGTCCTCGCTGAAGTTGGTTGTGCTGTAACGGACAACATTTTAGTCACTGAAGAGGTCATCGCCGAAGATTGGTGTCCTAAAAAAGGACAGTTTTCTCCTCGCTGAATAGAGTTATCTTGAAACGGACAGTTTTGTTGTCTCTGAAGAGAGTTGTCCTGAAAAGGACAGTTTTGTAGTCTGATGAGGTTTGTCCTGAAAAGGACAGTTTTTTAGTCGCTGAAGAGGACAGTCTTGAAAACATTTTTATAGTCTCTGAAGAGGGTTGTCCTGAAAAGGAGAGTTTCGTAGTGTCTGAAAAGAGTTGTCTTGAAAAGGACAGTTTTGTCTTCTCTGAAGAGGGTTTCCTGAAAAGGAGAGTTTTATATTCGCTGAAGAATGTTATCATGATACTCCTAAAACGGTGTGTTCCCTCTACAGATCGTGCTATCTTCTCCCTTTACAAGAGTCAGATCAGGCAAAAAAAAGGCCACTTCTGCTATATATGTGTGGCAGCTGCCCAGTCTTCAGTTTCCAGTTCCGATAGAAACCAAAATTGTCTCCGTATCCTTGTAGGTGACGAAACATTTTCTGCTCTACAACCCCTTTCTAACAGATGAGACGTCGCGAGCCCTCGCTGCACGATCGCTATTTCTCCCGGGAGACTGCTCAGATGAAATACATTCTATGGTCTTATCATAAGTAACATGGACATGACTCGCAATGCTACGTTCAGTGTCGCGAACTACCCTCATTACCTTCGTATTCCAAGTAGCTTTGTGGAACCGACTACCAAGAACATATTTCCCTGATCAATATTAACCTGTTCAAGTCTAGCGTTAACCGTTATCTTCTACACATATGCGCATAAGCCTCTTTAAATGTCTACATTAAGTGGCTTTCGAGCCCTATACAGGATGAACGCCATTGTGAAAAACATTGGGAATAGCTAGAGTCGCTCACGTCCAGAAGAGATGCGGTACGTTGCAAAAGAAGAAGAAATTATTTACTCTGAATATTTTAGAAAAAATATCGCAATAACATTGAGGATTTTCTTTTATATGTTGAATTAATGATACTGGATCTTTGGGTTGCCATATTTGTCATGTTTTCTCTTTAGACATGATGTCCTCTAAAGCCAATTGAAGTGTGAGGCACTGAGAATCACGCCGAATTATTTCCAAGTATCACATTTTGCTTTGCTTTACAAAGAGCAATCGTGACTTTCAGAAAATCATCTTCAGGCAAAGTTGTGCATTAGGCCCCCTTCACTAACAGCGGCAACATTTACTATTCCTCCATCTTTCGCTGAGTTTTTCTCTCCGTTTTTTCTTTATTATTTGTTTCCTTTTTGTTTTCTTTTCTACTTTCCTATTTTAAATATTCCTCCATCTTTCGCTAAGGCCTCTTTGGTTTTTTTTTATATTCTTTTCCTTTTATCATTTTTTTCTTTCGTTTTTAACTATTTCTCCATCTTTTGCTAAATACTTTTCTCCTTTTTTTAATTTTAGTTTTCTTCCCTTTCTTTCCTTCATCTTCCTCCGTCTTTTGCTAAATCATTCTGTCTATTTTTCCTTATTCTTTCTTCTTGTTGTCTTTTGCTTTTTATATTATTTTTCCTTTTTAAGTAGCCCCCCTTGTTTTGCTAAATCTTTCTCTCCTGTGTTTTGTTTTTTTTTTCTGTCTTTTCTCTAATTTCACTCTTTCATTCTTCCAGGACATACAGCCATATGACGTTGAAACACCGGTTCTCTTACGATCATCAAAATTAAGAAACGTAGAGCTTGGTCAGTACCTAGATTGCTAACCGCCTGGGCATATCAGGTGCTGTAAACTGGGATGTGCAGGTGGTGTAATGGATAACTGCTCAGAATTCTAGTCGAGTTCCTAATATTCACTTACATGGGAAAAGTAAGAATCCACTTCTTCCAACTTTAGCAATGGGTTAATTAGTAGAATTTGTAATAATAAATCATAATCTTCGAAACATGTTTTCTGGTTTTAAATTAACTTCAAAGGTTGATAAGCCGTCAATCATTCAATCTCATTCTTTCACTTTCCCTCACTCTCCCTCCCTCTTTATCTCACCTTTTATTTTCATGCCTTTTTATTATCTCTCTTTTTAATCTCCTATTCTTCTTCTTCCTCTTTCTCTAGTTCTTTCTCTTCTTATTCTTTCTCTTTTCCTCTCTCTCTTTCTTTCAATTCATCACACTTCCTCTTTCTGTCCCCCTTTTTCCCATCTTTCTCCCTCTCGTTCTTTTTCAGCTCTATTTTACTCCTCCTCGCTCTTCTTCTTTCTCTCACCATTTCTCTCTGTCACTCTTTTTCTTTGGGTCTCAATATTAGTCGTTTTTTTTTATCTCTTTCGCATCAATCTTTTTTTTTTATTTCTATTAATATTTCTCTTTTACTACACTATTTTTTCGTTTCCCTTTCTTTCCCTTTACTTCATTCATACCTACAAGCCTCTTTCATTTGTTTTTATTCTTCCTGAATCGTTTTAACACTTACTCCCATTTTCTACAATTTTCTTCATTTCTCCTTTTTCTTTTCATTCTTTCTTTCTTTATTTCTTTCATTATTATCTGACATTCTTTTTTATTCTCTTTCCTTCATAAATTCTTTATTTTTATCGTCTCTGCTCTTACATTATTTCTCTATTTTTTTTTCTTTACGTTCTCTTTTTCTTTCTTTGATTTTATTCTTTTTTGATTTTTTGCTCAATCTACTTTTTCATTTTTATCAGGCTTTTTTAATTATTTAACTTCCTATTTTTTTAATTCTTTTTTTCTTTCTTTTTCCGTAAATTTTTTTATATAATTTCTTTTTATTTTCTTTGTTTTCCTTCTTTTTCTTCTTTTTCCTTTAAATTCGTTTTTTCTTTCTTTATATTTTTGAGTGCTTATTTTTTTAATTCTTTTTTCTTTCTTTTTCCGTAGATTTTTCAAATAATATCCTTTTATTTTCTTTGCTTTCCTTTTTTCCTTTTTTCCTTCAATCTACATTTTTTTATTCTTATTTTCCTTCTTTACCGTTTTGATTGCTTATTTTTTTAAATTATTTTTCTTTCTTATTTCCGTGATTTTTTTCATATAATTTCATTTTATTTTCTTTGCTTTCCTCTTTTTTCCTTCAATCTACATTTGTTTATTCTTTTTATCTTTACTTTTTTGATTGAATATTTTTTAATTCTTTTTTTCTTTCTTTTTCCGTACATTTTTTCTTATACTATCTTTTCATTTTCTTTGCCTTTTTTTTCTTTTTTCCTTTTTTCCCTTTAATCAGCCTTTTTCATTCGTTTTTTCTTCTTTATATTTTTGAGTGCTTATTTTTTTTAAATTCTTTTTTTTCTCTTTTTCCGTAGATTTTTCAAATAATATCGTTTTAGTTTCTTTGCTTTCCTTCATTTTTTCTTTTTTTCTTTCAATCTACATTTTTTATTCTTTTTTTCTTTTTTTATCGTTTTGAGTGCTTACTTTTTTAAATTCTTTTTTTCTTTATTTTTCCGTGCATTTTTACATTCCCTTTTTTTCCTTCAATCTACATTTTTTTATTCTTTCTTCCTTACTTTCATTCTTGTTACTCTTTTTCATTTTTATTTACTTTGTTTATCGTTTGGTTCGATCTTTAATTTCATTGTTTTTGTTACATTCATCCATATTTTATACATTTTGCCTCTACTTTTCTTTTGATTCTTTTTACCTCATAATATACAGTTTTCTTTATTCTATTCTTGCTTTTATTTTTGCTTTCTTCACTTTTAGTCTTTATCTTGTTACAGTCTTCTCGTTTCTTTTACATATACGTCCATATTGTCTCCTTATGTTTCCTCTCCTTTCGAAACATTCTGTCAATTTCTTTTTTTTTTATCAAACTTTTCATTCCTTCTTTCTGTATATCATTCTTTTCTTTCCTCTTTTATTCATTTTTTTCTTTTATTTATTCATTCTTTCGTTACAATTTTCTTTTGCTCCTTCCATATTTTTCTTTTTGTTATTTATTCATTCTTACTAAATGTTTTTCTTTTGTCTTTCCATTTTACATTACATTTTTCTTTAGTAGTTTACATCTTTGTTTCTATCTCAATTTCTTTCTTTCTTTATCATATTGCTTCTTTCTTTCTTTATTTTTTTATTTCCGGAATTCTTTCTTCAGATTTTTCATTTTTTCGTTCGACATTTTCATGTTTCCTGACACATCTTTCATTATTTCACAGTTTATTCTTTTTCATTTTTTTTTTTTTTTTCATTTCAGTCTTTTCTTCATTTTCATTTGTGTCGGGTATTTTCATTTCGATTTTGGCCAACTCATTTCTTTCCTTTCTTTCCATTTTCTTTTTTTTTATTAATTCCTGCAGATGTTTTATTTCATTCTTTCTTTTTCTTTAACTTTTTCTTTATTAATATTTTTCTTCTTCTCCTTTTTCTTCTTCTTCTTCCGTTTCTTCTTCTTCCATTTTTTGCACATTTTAGCTTATATTTTCAGTTATTTTTGTTTTCATCTCGCTTAGGCAGCATCATCATCTCTTTTACACTTTTCATTTTAATAAATCTCCTTCACTAAATTCTGCTTCATTCCTCTTCTTCTTCTACTACTTCTTTCTTCTTCTTCCTTTTCTTCTTCTTCTTCTTCTTCTTCTTTTTCTTCTTCTTCTTCTTCTACCTTTTCTTCTTCTTTTTCTTCTTCTTCTTCCTCTTCTTCCTTTTCTACTATTGCTTCTTCTTCCTTTTCTTCTTCTACTTCCTTTTCTTCTTCCTTTTCTTCTTCTTCTTCATCTTCGTCTTCTCCCTTTTCTTCTTCTTCTTCGTCACTCAATGTCACCGTCCTTTCTATTCGTCAAACAATCACTCCTCACCTTTCCATATTTATTTCCTCCCCGCCCAATTAATTCTCTCCTATTCTTTCGAATTCTTTCTTTTCTTTTATAATTCCTCCACTTCCTCCTCCCCAGCCACGTGTGTTCTTTTACCTTCCCTTTCTTCGCCCCTTTCTAATATTAATCCTTCTTCTACGACGTCGACAATTGTCTCTCCTCCTCTCTAATTAACTCCTCTTCAAAACACTGACAATACACTAAAGTCCTTATTGTTGCAATCTTCCAGATTGAACGATGCAACTAGTCCCGTTGATCACTTGTATTCTTTGACAGACTTTCACTCTCCATTCTTTGCGTTAAAAATGTTAAAAGGGAGAAATTAAAAGCACAAAATGAAGAGAAAGAAACGAAGGAAAGTGAAAGAGAAAACAGATGAACGCATGCGCACTTACTCACATATATATCTACGCATGCGCAGCCAGTGTTGCACTCGAGAAAACAGTACATTTAACGAAAAATATAAAGAAAAATATATCTTGCCTTGGCGAAGTCACGAAAAGATAGCATGAAAAACATGGCAGATAAAGCGGCAAAAGTATTTACATTCGGTGTATAGTTTAAAACTGATTTTTTTGATCTCATTTCTTTTGTAATAACAATGATCGCATTCAGTTCTATATGTCGAGAAAGAGACACACAAAAATAGCTATGGTAACACAACAGTATCAGTTCATATATATATATATATATATATATATATATATATATATATATATATATATATATTCAGGGTTACCAGGTTTGAAAGAAGACATTTTTAGCGAGCCAGAAATGGAAGAGAATTCAACGCAGCGCTTCGCCGCATGTGCCAAATTTAAAATTTCTTGTTTCTTCTTCCGATCTATTGATGAACATTAGCATTACAATTTCCAGTCTGACAAGGAAAATCAAAAGGGACATAATATTTCTGGTATGAGTCGCCAATGTCGCCGATAGACAGCTTCTAGAATCTTACCAGGTGAATCAGAATAGATCACTTTGCGTACATCCCACAAATGATTTGGTTTAGTTTGGTTTGTTTTGTTTTACGGCTTATCAACCTCACTGGGTCATTTAATGCCGGAAACTTTTTTTCCCCTGGTAATATTTTTGTTTTGTCAAAAATCTATTTCTGTTAATATTTTTTTCCTCAAAATTGCATTGCTGGTAATATTTTCAAAAATGTATTGCTGGTAATATTTTTTTTTCAAAAACGTATTGCTGTTAATAGTTTTTTTCTTCAAAAATTTATTTCTGGTAATAATTTTTACAAAGTATTTCTGGTATTAAAACCTTTTTTACACTTTCATAATGCTTTTACTTCAGTTTCGAGGCTAACTATTTGCCCATAGCTGGGACTCTAACAGATGCTCCCACCCTGGGTCAGAGTGGACCTGAGAACACCAGCAATTAAGAGGTGGTTCCACACTCCTGATCAGAGGCCTTTCTGTTGGACGTAGTTTATCGTCTTACCATGGTCGCGGATGTAGTTTATCGTCTCACACTGGGTGCGGATGTAGTTTATCGTCTTACCCTGGGCGCGGATGTAGTTTATCGTCTTACACTGGGCGCGAATGTAGTTTATCGTCTTACACTGGGCGCGGATGTAGTTTATCGTCTCACACTGGGTGCGGATGTAGTTTATCGTCTTACACTGGATGCGGATGTAGTTTATCGTCTTACCCTGGTCGCGGATGTAGTTTATCGTCTTACACTGGTCGCGGATGTAGTTTATCGCCTTACCCTGGGCGCGGATATAGTTTATCGTCTTACCCTGGTCGCGGGTGTAGTTTATCGTCTTACCCTGGTCGCGGATGTAGTTTATCGTCATATCCTGGGCGCGGATGTAGTTTATCGTCTTACACTGGGTGCGGATGTAGTTTATCGTCATATCCATGACGGCCCACGAATGAATCTACAAAAAAAAAGCACCTAGTCATTAACGTTCTTGCGGGGCTTCGGGACCAAAAATGGGCGTGCCTTGTTATCCCTAAGGAATTAATGGTTCTTATTTTTAACCCGACATTTTTTCTACGTTAATCCAAATGATTTTTATTGATTGATCTGTTTTCTACGGCTTATCAACCATTATTTTTCTAGATTATAAGATGTTTTTTGGAGATAATAAGGATTTATTGATACAAGTCTTACTAATTTACCCATATTTAGGAAAGAAGAATCGGATTCATAAATTTCCCAAAGTTATATTTTCGCGTATGTGAATATAACGAACCCAACTGGAATTGGAACTCCGTTCTCCGATTAACAATTCCGAGCCAGTATCTATTACACCACTCGCACATTCCAGCTTTCAGCAGCTGTTATTACCAAGCGGTCACCCATCCAAGTAGTAACCAGGCTCGACGTTGCTTAACTTCGGTGATCGTACAGAACCGGTATTTCAACGTGACATGGCTCATCTTAACCCTCCTCGGCGTTGGCTCTGAATTTTAAAGTTAACCTCAGATCTCAAATGGAATTTCCATATAAAATTAACCGTTGAATATTCTTGAATAAATGATCGATTCCATGTGCTTCTCTAAGACATACTTCATCCCTAACATTCTTTATCGTTACAAGAATCAGAAAAAAATGGAGTATTTTTGCCATACCCAGCTGCACAACCTTTTCTTTTTTTTCCCCAAGCCTTAAAAAAATCAAAACCGTTTACGCAAGCTTATGGAGATGAAGTAATTTCAACCCAACTGCTCCTTTCTTCACAGACATAGCTAGGCTCTTTCTATTCTATAGCGATTTGAACAGCAAATGTTGTTAAGAGCTATTAGCTCCACATTTTCAGACCTTTACAGCTAGGGGACGCCATGATTGTCTCTCAGGGCCGAATCATCCGCATTCTCTTCGTATACAATTCGTAAAAAGGGGAGTTACATTCAAACATTTTCTTCCTTAGCACTCTTTCTCCAGTCACGATCAACGGTGGGACGCTGAACGTGATTCCTTGTTTTGAACGTCTACCGGGACTTGAGTTCTTCTTAGATCTGAAATGGAACTCGAATATACGATCCATCGCTAGATACTGCTTCGGACAGCTTTCTTACGGAATAGACGCACAATGGCATTCTTCCCTGATCCCTACAGTCTTAAAAGTTTTAAGACTAGGGTCAACAGTTATATATCATATATATATCCTCATAATCTAACTTACTACTTCTGTACAAAAACCTCATTCAACAAGCCTCTACCTTAGAGCCGCTCTTAGGTCTTGTAGTTGATAAACATTTAGTTAAAGAAATTGATCTATCAGGCACACTGTTAAAATTAGCATCATATGAACAAGATGTCTTCTCCCGTCATATGAAGGCAATATGAAAAGAATAAGCAAAGACAATAAAACATTTTTTGATTTCCCACTTAAAAGAAGGCGATGTATTTTGTTCTAATGACTGATTTGAATCCACAGAGTTATATAAATAATCTATTCACTAGATTAACCAAAGGAGCGTTTTCGTTCAATGGAACAATGATACGATGCCGCTGAATAGAATTAATTCTATCTGCTTTCAAGGAGATAGAATCTAATATATATATATATATATATATATATATATATGTATGGTGATTCTGCTAGGGTAGTTTTAATGTGATACAAGGCCGGGAATAAGGGGCGTCCAATGAGGGTTGAACTAACTAGTCAGTCGTAACTGATCTAGCGAAACAAGATTTCTAAATATTATGCCACGTCGAAGTGTTCTTTAAATAATTTCTAAGCGTAGTTTAGCTGTGGAACAAGGCCAAAATTATGGGGCATCTAGTGAGGATCGAACACACTATTTAGTCGTAATTTATCTAACGATACAAGCATACTAATAATTACACCACGTCGAAATGCTCTTTAACAAGCAGGAAATATGTGGCACCCAGTGAGGATCGAACTCAATATTCAGTCGTAAGTGATCGAGCATGATTAGCTTGATAACCATTACACCATGTTGAAGTTCCCTTTTAAATTATTTTCTATAAGTTGGCTTAGATGTGGTACAAAGCCGGAAATAAGGTGTGCCCAGTGAGGATCGACCTCACTAGTCAGTCCAAATTGATATCGTGAGATTATCTTCCTAACCATTACACCATGTTGAAGTGCTCTTTAAATGGTTTTCTATACGTAGTTTAGATGTGGTACAAAGCTGGAAATAAGGGGTGCCCAGTGAGGATCGACCTCACTAGTCAGTCGTAATTGATCAAACGAGATTACCTTGCTAACCATTACACCGCGTTGAATTGCACTGTAGATGATTTTCTATATGTAGTTTAGATGTGGCACAAAGCAGGAAATAAGGGGTGCCCAATGAGGATCGACCTCACTAGTCAGTCGTAATTAATCTAGCGATACATGCTTTTATTTTTCTTTTATTGGTTTTGTCTCCGATGTCTTTACTTAGTATTCCTTCCCTGTCGCTATTTTCACTTCTCCATTACTATTTATATAGGTAACATTTTTATTCAGACGACCCCCACCCACCCAAATATGCTTACCCAATCTTATTTATCATGACCACCCCTATTTTTTAGTTGGTAGTAGACATCAAAACTTGTCATTATTTGAAATGAATTCTTTCACATAATTTTTTACGGGTTAATAGGAGTAGAAAGGCTCACATATCATCCTGTCTGCACTCCTTCTATGTCTATTGAACAGGAGTAGAGGTTCATCCCTTGTTTCCTGTTCAGGATATGGTTTACCAGTTCTCTCTCTCTTTCTTCTATAAGGACCACATTGATGTAACTCTCTTAACTTTTTGTTGATTTTACTAGCCAGTGTTTGTGAGTTTCCATTATGAGGGTACCGGGTTGGCAGTGCAGTTTGTTGCCTGCTGCTTCCGACTGGTCATTAGGAGCCCGAACAATTTGGTAGCGCTTAGAGAGGGGCATAATATCGGGTATCTGTAATGCCATGTCGTGCATGGTAAGGTGTACCTACATTTATTTCCGGCGAGCTATCCTGAGGTCACATTATGCTCTGATCTCAGCCATGCATTAGACTGGCAGAGATATTTCACCAATTTCCAGTTGATCTAATTAGTTACCGCCGTAACTTTTCTTTTCTCGCACCTCTCGTCTGCGGAATTTCCTTCCGGCTACATGCTTTCCAGCCAACATTAATCTGCAAAAATTTAAATGTAATGTCAATCGCTATCTATCTTGTTACTATTTTCTCTTTCTACACATTACTAATGTTTCTGTTCCTAATTCATCCACACCTTTACTTGTTAGTCGCTGTACTACCTTGCTTGGGGTGATACCGATTACACACACACACACACACACACACACACATATATATATATATATATATATAGTTGGAATGAGGTTTCACGCTCACTGCGATCGTCAGACAAATTCAGAGATTGTCTGATGATCACGGAGAGGGATCGTCAGGGAATCAGTATTCCCTGACGATCCACGTAGGTGAAACATTGGTAGGTTTATCTGGGTCTTTAAGTTTAATTAGGTTTGCTCTGCTTAGCGTATTGAGCACTTTACTTAGTTATTTTACTTACTCGTATCGGTTTTTTTTTCTTTGGACTCTGAACTTGGATGCAAGACGATTGTCTTCGGCTGACGTACATGTTCTCTGTTCTTTCTTTTGTTTGTACCTTTTTTTCACTTGGATATTAGTCTGTTTATTTACACATCAAAGTATCCAAGGTTTTCCGGACGAGTATAATTTCTTATATTTATAAGATTATTACTATATATATATATATATATATATATATATATCGTATTTTTATTGTAGAGAGAGAATTTTCGTTAAGAATAGATTATGAAAGTCTGAATATATCGAACCCCAGAAATGGTTTCATTCGGAAAGATGGCTTGAGTTACTGCCTTATTCAAGAGCGATCTGTTAAAGATAATTGTTGTGGATTCCGAGATGAAATCCGGTCTCCAATGAATGACAAACGCAGGAATGAAATATAACAAATAAATGTATTTACACAATAATACAATTGGTATTACGGTTAGTAAATCCAGAAACGCAGGAATGAAATATAACAAATAAATGTATTTACACAATAATACAATTGGTAATACGGTTAGTAAATCCAGAAACGCGGTTAGTAGCAATAATAATATATATGTATATATATACAGTCTGGTAAATCCACTCTCAAAGTAGGACTTCCTTAGAGTCTATGTGTTTGTAACTGTGACTTCTACAAGCGTTTACCTCACACTATTACTCTACCTCCAACTCAATCACAATCTCTGTCTCTCTACTCTGATTGACTCTGGGTATTTAACGGCAGCAGTCCAAGTACAAACTGGTAGAGTCCACTTCTATGAAAAAGGGGTGGAACCCATAACAATAATAACGGCAATAAAGTAAAGAGAAAGAATTAAAAAAAAAACATGCAAACTAAATTCATTCTAATATAAACAGATGTGAGTGTCTCATGTTTTGCACATGTTACAGGTGCTTGACGTTCCCGTTTCTCGAAACAACAGCTGTCAGAAATGAATATCTGAAAATATATTCGTTATGGCTGGAAGACATTTTAGAAAATAAAGCAAAAAAGGAAAACGCCAATAGTACAGGATACAGAAATCGAAGATTAGCCTGAAGCAAAACGAGTTAAGGATGGAGGGATGGAACGGAAGTGGCATTTCCGACTGAAACCCAAGAGAATCTACAAAAGGGGTATAATTCTTTGATTCTGTATTTTCAGAAAAAGTTAAAGAATATTTTGAAGTTCTGAAAGCGTATTGACTGAGTTCATTATTCACAATGCGTTGGAGAAATATCTTTAAGTAACACTAACGTCACAGAAACAAAATATACGTTTTTCAATAGAGAATTTCAACAATACGATGCACCTTCTAAAATATCCTTATTCATTTTTTCCCGGCGAAACTAATGGCATGTGGGTAAAATCATTTGAATGGGAGGTAAATCCACTCATGCCGCGGATGCAGAAATGAAATATTTACCGTGTCCTTTCAGGTCTTTCATGGCCCTCCACGACTTCCTGTCTTTTGTAGCTCTTAATAATTTTTGTCTTTTTGCCATCTCTCCCTGCTTTGCTATACATTGACTCAAGCTCACCAGGTCATTTGCGCGTTGCATTGCTCTGGACAGCATACGCCCAATCTGCCCTCTGAGTATTAACTTTTCCAGCCACCATATATATATATATATATATATATATATATATATATATATATATTTTTGTGTGTGTGTATGTATTTAAGCAGCAATTTTTTATTAATGCATGTTTCATTAAATAATATATACAAGTTTTGTCTATTTATTTTAAGTAAGTTCCTTTCATATTGTCCGATAAGCTTAATAACATTATCATTGAAAGACGAAAGGAAATCACCATATTGATACATCTTTAAATCCAATCTAAGCTTTCGGGTTACATGAGCCATTATCAAAGATAACAAT